TTAATTCTGTCTGGCTCAAAGAGGGCACATCACTGAATAAAACAGGGTACTTCACAACACAGCTGTGATCCTTTACGTGCTAACTTAACACGATACTATATGATCCTAACAGTAAAACTTTATGCACAGCACAACAAATGCCCATTCAATAAAATAACTGGTTATATTATAACTATTTTAATCTCACATAAGCTGAGATTATATAGTAAAATATATTCCAAAACCATACACAACCTGTTCTAATACCAAAGCAAGTGTATAGGACAAAATACTAATCAGCCTGGACAGTCAAAGTAATAAGGAGTGAAAATTAAGATGACAGTGCAAATGATGACAGTAGTGATGATAATGATTGCTGCTGTTGATGGTTCTTACAACTGGTAATGGTGATCAGAGTGGTAGTAGACCTAGTGATGGCAATGATATAGACATTGTTGAAGGTCGAAAAAAATGATGCAAATTAAAGTAAACACGAAACCCGCTCACTCATACACAGCCTACCTTAACATGTCCTCGATTTAAACTGAACTGAACTCAACGCATTTTCCTAAACATCTGAAGCGTCATGTTCAACTGTGGGAAGCAGCCCTATAAAAACATGTACAATCTACCGGAACCAAAACTAAAAGAGAGCACAGGGGATGAGAACAATAACCTCAGATCAGTTTCGGCAAAATTGTGGTTCTTCTATCAAACGAAAGATAAGGCGTGTGCTTACTCGCCCATGTTGGTGGTCTGTTTCCGCCAAGATCGGGAAGTGCTCTGGGCACGTGCACTGCTTACTTCTGCTACGTAGCTACGTATTGAAAAGGAAAACGGGTCCAAAGCGGCCGCGGTTTGTATCCTGTCATTTACGATGCGCAGAAGGATTTGTCTTTAACAAGAACGTAAATACTGGTTCAAATGTCTGACCATACACAAAGATTAACGAGCGTCAGAATCTGAATTCATACCTGCAGGACATACTTCAAGTCACCAAACGCATCATTGGTTTGTGTGGTTAATTTATTGCAGATAGGACCACAAACTAATTAACTCTTCGCGTTTTTTGTGGAAAGTGAAGGTTCATTAACCGTCCACTGTTCCCTACTCACACACTCTGTTTTCTATTATCCATTTTAATATTATCCTACGACCTACCACTAAGTCCTCCAAGTCGGCGCCAGGTTAGATAGAACATTTCGGGGGGTTTTTCGGGCGGTTCTTTTTCTCGCAAAGAAAAAGTTATTCGTAGTTGATCATCCTATGCTCCTGACACTGCCAGACTTCGAAAACAAGTCCCATCGATTCAGTTTTCTCAGGAATTTTCTTAGATGCCTCTCCCAGAAATACTTTGAGATAACACTTTACAAACTTGGTATCCGATAAATTTGTTTCGTTCCTCAAACCCCAAAATGACCTCAGATGTTCTAGAGGCGTCGTTAAATAATTCATCCAAGGATTACTACGAGGGTCGCTCATTAAGTAATGCCCCACATTTTTTTCTCAGCCAATAATGAAGATAGAAAAGTGCACTTTTACATGCTTGAGATTTGATGTTTCCCGCGTTCGTGTACGGAGTTTCAAATGATTCAAACCGATAGCGGAGCTGTAGTGAACTGTTAAAATGGCGTCTGTGAACGACTCTCGTTACAAGCAACGAGCTGTAATTGAATTCTTTTTTGCTGAAAAAGAAACTGTGGTGAACATTCATAAACGTTTGTGTGCTGTGTATGGAAGCTGTGCAGTCGATAGGAGCACCGTTGGTCGCTGGGCTAAGAGAGTTAAAGCTTCAGGAAGTGAAGAAACCGAGCTCC